AAAAAAAAAAAAAAAAAAAAAAAAAAAAAAAAAAAAAAAAAAAAAAAAAAAACCCAAACCCCAAACAAAAAAGAAACAAAACATGAAACAAACATAAAAAACAGCTTTGAAAAAAAAAAGAAACCTTAGTTAAGGGTGGTCCTATGTAATCTGCCTGGAGAAACACCACACTCCTTTGCAGCCTTAAAAACTGGTAGGAATGGGTGAGCTGGCAGACTGCAAGTTGTGTCCATCCATAGCTGCTGCCCAGTCCTGTTTTTCCTCTCTTTCCCCCTGCAGAGCTGTCAGAGGTGCTTTGGACCATGGTGATGCACAGCGGGCTCAGCAGCGGCGGCTGGGCSGGCCTCATCGCCATCTTCATCATCTTCGCGGCCTTTGCCGTGCTGACCGTGGCCATCCTGCTGGTCATGGAGGGGCTCTCRGCCTTCCTGCACGCCCTGCGCCTGCACTGGTGCGTGGGGTGCTATCTGGGGGCTCTCCCTGAGCAGYTTTTGGGAGGGAGCCGGCTGTGGGGACAGGTGGCCCTTTCAGTGACGCTGCCATGCCGTGCCAGTGCGTTGGCACTCGAGTGTCCTTTGGCAAATGAAGTGAGGGAGGCTCTGCCAAAGGGAGCCCAGAAATTCCTGCTCTGAGCTGYTCCCTGCTTGTCCTCCTGCTCCTGTGAGCGTGTGAGGCGAATGGCAACCTGCAATTGTGTCCTGGTGAGCACGCTGAGCCACCGAGGCCACTTTGACCTGCAGGACAAGGCCCAAAGGCACCACAGCCACCCAGGGATCTAACAACACTCCTGCCTAGGGGAGGAAAATCTGATAAAAAGCTGGGTCAGGGGTTGTATTGTCAGCCTAAGCTGAGCTTCAGGCTTTCAGGCCTTATGGCAAACCAGTTCCAAGTCAGCCCTTAACTGGTCATCGGTCCAGGCTAGGCCAGCAGTGTGGCTGCACCATCAGTGTGTGAGCAAGACCAAGGTGACAAAACACCCTTCACCACCACCACAACTGGGCATCCTGCCTGAGCCCCAGGCTGTGTCTTTTGCACCACATAATCTCCACCTCAAACCATAAACGCTGCCAAGGCAAACCAAGGCGCAGGTGTTTGTTACTGTGTGGGGAGGTGGAGATGTGTCCCCCACCAGCATGCGGTTCTTCCAGCTCTCAGAGCTGCCAGAAGCAGGTTACCAGGCAAGGTTCTGCTGGTTGGCCTTGTAAAGAGTGTTTCCAGCCTGGGAAATGCTTTCTTTTTGTCAGAAGTCAGAGCTGATGTGTGCCACGCTGCTCCGCGGGCTGGCTGTGTCTCACTGCTGCCTCCATTCAGAGCCACATTCCAAGCTCAGAGTCCATCATCTCCCATGGCTTCCCTTTTCCTGTGGGTGCTGTGTTTCAGCCTCTTAGCTGGCCAGAGGCCCTGCCTACAGGCAGCACTGATGTTTCCCTCTGCTCCTCCCCAGGGTGGAATTTCAGAACAAGTTCTAYGTGGGAGCCGGCTACAAATTCTCTCCATTCTCCTTCAAGCATATCATCAGCGGCACTGCAGAAGAGTGAGGCCATTGCATCAGCGCTTCCCTCCTCAGAGCAGGCTCTGTTTTCTTCCCATAAAGCAGGGATGAAGGAGAATGTGATGTGGCCCTTGAAAGAAGAGCAGCTGTAGATGAAAATGTCCTAGTTACATTCCAATACACCTCTGCATCAGCTGMGAGCTGGACTCTTGGCTGAGTGTCCCCACTGATGCCTTTGCCAAGGACCTGGTCCTCAGCATTTGGTGGGGTCAGCTGCCTGTGCCTGGTTGAGGAGAGGGGATGCAGCTTGGGAATTAAAGCTGTCATTAACAATCAGCTCACGTGCCTGTCGCTCCGTTTGCTGCCTTGTCACTGCGGTACATTTCTGTCTGAGGAAAATGTGTTTTGTTTGTTGTTCCAGGCTGTGGTTGATCATACAATGTGATTAAGTCCCTTGTAAGATTGGAGCCCTTCATTTAGCACACAATGCAAACCAGCTCAAAGACAGATCATGTTGCAGGATTGTGGATTTCTACATGCTTTACTACAATAACCCCCTTTTTATCTGATCTTCTCCAGGGCTTGACAGCACWGGATTATAGAAACACACACACATCATCACTTAACAAGTGTTAGTTTTAAGCTGTGTAAACAAAAGTTTCCACACTGGCAGCCATTTTATTTATTGACCCGTTTCTCACTGATGATTCACTCATCTCACAAGATGATTCCCCCTGCACTGTATTTTTCAAGATGTGCTGTTAGAGCAGATCATGTAGAAATGTTAATACCTAATGAGCAGAAAGAAGAGTGGAATCAAAACAGTTGGCGTGAATTTGAAGCACTGATGTACTGCGATCTTCTGAAATATTCATGAATTACTAACCTTTCAAGCTGAACAGTGTTAATCATAACAGGCTGTGGGTTTTTAACCCTGAAGTACACAAAGAAAACAGAGCACACCGAGGGATTTTGTGTGGACAGCGCTCCCTTCCAAGGGGTGTGGCCAAGCAAGAACTTATTTTCAAACCTCACTCCCTTGATATCCAGCTCCACCAAAACACCCACCTGGGAGCATCCCCAGCAGGACACAGTGTGTAACAGTCATCACAAACTGTGTTTCTGCAGTAGTCAGGTTTGAGAGTCACCTCCAGCTACAATGACAGGGCAGAAAATACAGCCCCAAGCCAAGCARTTGCCTCAATTTTTCCCTTTTTCCCCAAGTTCCCTTCTCAAGAAGSTGTGCTGACATCATGCAGCAGTTACCAGGACACTTTTTTGACAGCTTGGGTTTGGAGCAGCAGCTGGAGCTGGGAAGAGGTGGACATAGGAGAAGTCCCATGTCACCATTTCCTCGGGCACAGGTGACCTTTGGTGCATGTAAAACCCACGCAGGCATGACTGCAGGCGGTGTCACCATTGCTCAGACATGCACACCACCTCTGTTCCCTCCTTCCAGCCCGTTTTGTCCATTCCTGCTCAGCAGAAAAGCTGGCTGGCACCGAGAAAGGCCAGATTTAATTTGATGCATTACCAAATGCAGAGAAAACAATTTGGGTTTTGGAGCACCAGGTGAATTTTCTGCTCAAACACGTATTTTATCTTTATTGCAGCCTTCCACGTGATTGCAATGTAACTGAGGAAATGATTGCCAAAACAGAATATCCGTTCCTTTTAGAGGTTCTTGGTGTTTTGCTCTTTGTCCAAGGTTTACGTTTTAAGCAAGAAAAACAAGATATCCTGTGAATACCTCAGGTGACAGGGTGCTCTCTTGTTTACTGCACTGAACAGCAACTCAAACACTGGGCTTAATTCTGTATTCAGCTCTCTTTCTGTGTGCAACCCGAACAACACAGCAGAGCCTGTGTCTCACTGGAGCACTTTTGATGTGGGAATGGTCCTTCCCCACTCCACAAGAGGACCAAGCCCRTTGATAGTCAGGAAGCATTCAGATTGCTGAGAGTTGCACTGATGCACTTCAAAGAGAGCCCCGGGTTTCATCTGGGCTGCTTTCAAAAATCCTTTAAAAACCCAGAAATGTTCCAGAGTGCTTTGTCTTTTTGYAGGAAACGAGCATTAAACAAAACTCAGTGAATGACCATGCAGGAAAGGAAAAGTAAACTGTTTTTAGTCACTCACTGCCATTCTTCCCCGAGTATTTTATTCCTTCTTGTGAGAGCCATTGCTGTGTGTGTCTAGGCCCTCCCACCAGGACAAATCTGTGATATGAAAGATGAAGAAAGCCAGGTATTGAGTTTTTGTCCAGTCTCTTAAGTTTTTTGGACTGGTGATAATGAACTGCATTTTGGGCTGAGCTTTCGGAAACTCCAGGAGTCAATAGTTTCCTGGAGAGCAGCCTCTGGCTCCTGCACTGAACAACACTTTCTTCAGTGTTTACCTAAAAAATGCCTCTCCATTGTGCCCTTGGCCAGTATGGAGACTTTTCTCTTTCTCTTTTTTTTTGCTCCCTCTCTTTTCTTTCTCCTGGATCTTTCATTCATGCAGACATTTCGATTTGTGCTTCACTCTGACCAGCCTTTGCCTTTCCACGGCAAATAATTCAAATATCATGAGGTGGTTGAACAAGTGTAACAAACAGAGTATCCCTTTGTGCAGTCCCAAACRCCTGGGCCTGAAAGCTCATCTTTGTGGCTCAGATTTTAACTGGAATTTTGGTMATTTTTTTCCCTTCTATGCTGGGAATGATGAAACATCTGCGACCTCATGCGATTGCACACACACTGAGTTTTTGCAGGGAAAACATAATGGTATGGATCTGGCAGCCTGGATCGTGCATCTCATTCAGCAGATGCCAGTAACAGCTGAATATTAGATATTATTAAGAAGATGATATAAAATAAAGCTGCGAGRTAGCATATGTTGGCTGGTAGCAAATATCTTCCAGATGCTTGGAAACACAAGATGCAGCGTGGGAGTTCCACGCTTTGATAAAACCATTGCACCGTTGCTGCCAGTTCAGTGTATGCATTCAAAACAGAGGGATTTTGGAAACTCTAGTGAGAAGGAAAGGCAAAAAAACATCCCAGCATCTTTGCTGGCCTACACCAATACCAGCATGGAGCAGTGAAGGTCAGCACAAATGCTCCCAGCCCACCCCTGGCATGGCACTGAGATTTGATCCAACAAGGCTGGGATCACTGCGGCAGGTTAAGCCATGAATGCTCCCTGCATTTTGTAACCTCACCAAGAAATTCAGGAGGATGAAGCAGACCTTATTTTCCTGATGGTGCTGGTGCCAGAGTTGGCTTTGCCTGGCCTAAGAAGGGCTTGTGGCTGCATGGGGTGGCAAAGGTGACTTATGTCGGCACTGAGTTCCCCTAAAACCCAGCAGCAAAAATCCTTCTGGTGTTTGGATAATGATGTGTCCCTGCACCCTCCTTCCATTTGCTCAGTGTCATCCCCATGAGAAGGGATAGATAGGCTAATTTCTGAAATCCCACAGTGCCTGTGAAGAAYCTGCAGGTGCCACAGGACAAGCACAGGTCAGCTCCTGGGCACCCTGCCTGCAGCACTTACCTCTGGTGGTGGAGTGGGCAGGGAGGGACCTGTCTGTGCCAGAAAGGRGGAAACCTGACTCCTGGAGCTGGAYCCCAAACCCACAGCACCACCAGCACTGTGAAAAGTAAATAGCAGAGGAGAAACAGACAGGAAACAGGAAAGGTCTTCTCCTCCAAACAGGAGACAGCATAGAGGTAAGAAATCTTCACTAAAAAAAAATATTTAGTAAAATTTTGCTTAATATTGGGGGCATCTGATCATTTGTATGATCAGATACCTACACTGTCACCAGTGGGGAAACTTCTCTGACCTTACTGACCAAGTTCCCGGGTGGTGTCACAGGCAGCACTGCATTTTGTGTGCCCTTCRTGCCTCACAGCCCTCCCCAGAGGGTCACAACACCATCCCAGTGGGTCCCAGCCGTGAATTCACTGTGCTCCTGCTTGTTCCCTTCAGCTGGAGGGTTGCTGTTTTCCCTGCCAGCAGCAGTTTTTGCCACTGCTGTTGTTTTGGCTCATGCAAGTGGCATTTAGATTTACAAATAGAGGGAAATTTGTGGCTCTCTGATGATAGACACTGGCTGCTCCATCGTGGCAAACGGGGCTGCAGAGATTTGGGACAAGCAAAACACAGGTTTGGGAGGACCTGTTAGGTGATTTATTGTGCCTGCACAGATTTTTGGTGTTGTTTGAGATTACCCTGATACCTCTGAGGGTGTCTGGCTACTGTGGGGTGTTGGAGGTGGCTTTGCAGCCTTCTGCTGGGAATTCTGCACAGCAGCCCCAGGGATCGGGGTTCTCTCCCTTTTTCTGGAAGAGCTGTGGCACTTCCCAGAAGGAAGGCACATAGCCCAGAGCAGGTGAGTGCCAGTGAAAAGCTCCACCACCTCTCAGCAAACAGTAACAGAACATCAGGATGGGTGGGCAGAGGTCCAGGGCTTGTTGCTTGTCCTGCCAGCACCCTGGGCTGTGCCTGCCAYAGATTTTTTGGAGGAGAGTGTCTGTTTAACCAGACAGGGGTGTGATGTGGCAGCTTCGGGCAGAGTGTGTTTGCAGTTCCCTCATCATAAAGGAGCAGAAAAGGAGAAAAGCAGGTGCCCAGATTTTGTTATTGCAAAGCCTTTGATGGTTCAGACACGCAGTAAATCTTTACCGCTTCCCGTGGGCTCTTCCAAGCACCTTGTTTGGTTTCTGTTGGGCCGGTTCCACTTGGAAATGGTCCCTAGCTGCTGGCCATCACCATCAGCTGGTGGCACTGCGTGCTGCTGGCAGCTCTTGCTGCCTCTGAGGACTTTGCTGAGAGGCAGATGTAACCAACATCCCCCACACCTTCCTGGGTGCTGGACTGTAATGATCCGTGACAGCAGGGTCAGCATGTGTGACCCGATGTACTAATCTGCTGTTAGCCCTCAATGACCTCCTGATGACTGCACCTCAGGATAGCATWGAGGTGTCCATCCTACATTCCATTTCATTCCATTTCATTCCATATAATTCCATTCTATGCTGTAATTCCATGCTTTCCGTCTTCATGCCGCTCTCAGCCTCAAACGGAATTTTATATTTTTCATTGGATGCCCTCGGTCATTAATTCCCTCCAGCTCTCACCCTTCTGCAGCCTCCCTGATCCCTGCTGGTTGGCCATGGGCATTGCCTGGGCACTCCTGAAGGGAGTTAATCAAAAGAGAGAGTGTCAGCAAAGTKAAGATGAGCCCCCCTCCACAGTGTCTGAGCGTGCACTCAGCAGGAGAGCTCGTGGGTTAAAGCAATCAGTGTCCTTAATCCCTGCCCTGGGATTAAAATGGGTTTTCCTGATGAGGAAAAGCAGCAGTGATGAGGCCACAGGAGCTGATGCAGGAAGCCAGAAGCAGAGGCAGAGGGATCCAGCTTCCAGCTACAATGCAGAACTCAGGGCTGTGTTTGTGGATACCGTGAGAGGATGGAGATCAGTGCAGCAAGGGGCGAAGCAGAGGAGCTGGTTTGCAGCAGGAAGGTGTGTGTTGCCTGGAGAGGAGCTCAGTGCTGGCCTCACCACCCCCAAAACCCCGTCTGGGTCACCTGKCTGTGCCCCTGTAGGGGCTCCCACCAGGCTGAGCAATTGCAGAGTGCAGCTCCTCTGCTGCCCACCCAAACCCAGCTCCAGGAGGACCCTCCAACAGGAGCTACAGCTGCTGGGGGATCACATCTTGGCTCTTGGAGATGCAGCACCTTTCACACTGGCATTGCACTGCCCTCTGGGCTGGGAATGTTGTCACACACTCTCCTGTGCTAGGGTTGCCTTGATGGGCCAGTTTCAACAATGAGACAGACACGGTTAAGGGGATGAAGGGTTTTACCTTGGTATTTGGGATCCCAGGTACACAACTTGACAGAGTGGAAGAAATGCCAGAAAGAGCACACCGTGTGTAGCACGGATACAAGTTTATAGATTTCAGAAATTAGCATATCTATCTAGGATTCCCCAATAAGAAGCTTGACAAATGAATTAAAATCCCCATATTATAAAGAATTCCCCCCTGGGATGAGGCCAGAGCCCAGTTTACAAAATGTTCCAGAGAGGAAGCTACAGCCTCGAGGTTTGAGATAGCACAGGGTACTGGTGATGTTTGGTCTCTGCCCAGCAGAACCCCTAAACTAAGCTGGAATATCAGGCTACAAGTATTACAAGCATGTAGGCTAAGGGTACACATAAAGGTACAGAAAACGTATAAAAAGGGTGTATAAAATACATAAAAAGGTATAYAAAAAGAAAAGGCAAAAATAATTGAGTATCAYTAGCAGGGCTCCAGTCTTTCCCAAGGCACTGCCTGGACTTCCCATAAAACCAGCCAATGCCATATGATGACYGATCTCTGTCACTTCAGCTGACTTATCTTGTGAAGTTTCTGTGTGTTTTCCCCCAAAACCCCAATGGCAAGGGACATCTTCCAGTAATTGCATGAAACAAACTCCTGTTTGACTGTATCTGAGTGTTTCCACCCCAGCAYGAGAAACTGACTCACTGTCTTCTTACTCAGGTGACTTTGTGACTGTCCCGAGGTTTCCAAGGTAAATCCCAGCCTTGCCCTTAGTGACAGTGGATGCCAGCAGGAGCTGGGATGGCCAGTGCAGCAAAAGAGGCAGAAAATGCTATTGGTTTGGAAGAAATCCATGCAGAGACGAAAGAACCACCGAAAGGTGAGTTTGTATTGGCAAATACAAACTGGACTAGAAATCTGGGTCCTTGATGATCTGGGGTAGAGGGAGGGTGCTAAAACCTCATGRAGCCACAACATCAGCATCCTACACTCCCCTTTCATCACATCTTCCAGGCTGGGATCTGCTGCCTGTGGCACTGGGAACAGCTGGCTGGTTTGCCTCTTCTCAGGCCTCTGCTTTGTATAAACATTTTATTWTATTGGTAATTTGAGGATTCGTTTACTTGGGATAATTTTTACAATGTTATTCCGTTTTTTCCTTTTTACAGTGCAGTCTCACAGCAGCATGAAAAACATWGACATTTCTTGCAGAGGAGGTACCATTTGACTGCTGACAGTTTTTGTGCCCTAATTTTCTTTTCATGTTCAGGGCAAAAGACATTTACGGTGGAAGAAGCTGTGGAAACCGTTGGGTTTGGGAGGTTCCACATCATGCTTTTCCTCATCATGGGCAGCACTGGGGTAGGTGTCTGCAGCCATCTGCACTGGCCTGGAAAAAGCTTTCTYCTCATTTTCCTCACTCCTGTGCAACAACAACCATAAGCACATATTGCAGCCAGCCCTTTTTTTTTCCACTCATACCTTCTCAAGCAGAATTTCTGTGATTGTCATCATTGGTGAAAGCAGATTTTGGCCCTGTTGATACCAGACCTATTTCAGGGCAAAACTGAGGACGCTGGCCCAGAGAATGGTGGCTTGGCCCCTGCCCTGGAGCAGTGTCAGGGCATATCCTCATTAGTTCCTGAGGGTTAGATTTGCACTCAAAATGGTATTTTTAAGGTCATCCCCACAGCACCCAAACCCTGTGCAACCTAACTCAGAAGGCTTGATGTCTTCTCACCCCTAGCTGCCTGAAAAAAATCCTAACTTTCATGGTTTTTGTGTTAATTGTGTATCTGCTTTGGGAATTTTGGCACAAGCCTGAGGCTGGGCTGGGGTAAGGATGTGATGAGGGTCTGTCCATGAGGATYGCTGCAGCTGAGGTGAAAAACTCAGTAGCTGTGTGTAAACAATCAGCTCATTCCTAACTGCAGCCAGCTGCTGGGGCAGACAGCCAAYGGAGCAATGATGTTTTTAATCAAAAACAGCTTTAAGAGTTCATGTCAGAGGCCTGAATTCACAGCYAGATACCCACCCAAGCAGCTTGGTTTCCAGAGAGAGTCGAARATCTACTAACACAGCAGGGTGAGAGCCTTCTCTGCCAAGGATGTGCCTCCTTCTAGGGGCACCTTTCTCTCTTTCTCTCCAAGATCTTCCAGACCAGGAACAGGGCTCAGACCACTGCAAGGTGGCTTCACAGGAGTGTTTTGAGGTGGTGGGACTGCCATGGTGATGCCTAGATCTGGCTAACCTAAAACAGAGGCTGGACAAAATTGAGAGAATAAAAAGCAGTTCTATTTATTGAAGGGCCTTCAAGAACATTCAGGGCAGTCCCAGCCCACCCACAATGGACAATGGCTCACGGGTTTTTCACCCTTTCTCACTTTTGTCCATTTGCACATCAGGGCTGAATCCTCCAATTGCAGCTGCAGCCAATGCAGTCATTGGCTCCAAGTTGGCTCCCCCAATTCTCTGTTGTTTCCATCTCTTGGGGCCTGGCACAGTGAGGTGTCCTTGAGTCTGGRGCTGCAGAGGAATTGTTTTGTGTAAAAATGGGAGAGCAGGAGCTCAGCACTGTCTGTGGAGTCTGGAGTTATCCACTGAAGAATTCCAGGGTAACAGATGCATGGAAATAGAGAAGCTGAAATGCTAAGGCAGCAATGGCTGCAGACCTTGTAGGACTGAGGGGCTTTTCTTGGGGGCTTCTTGTGATTCCCCTCCTTGCTAACAGGTGGTTGAAGCCATGGAGATCATGCTCATAGCTGTTGTGTCCCCCCTCATCCGATGTCAGTGGCAGCTTCAAGACTGGCAGGTGGCTTTGGTGACAACAGTGAGTAGCTCGTGTTTCCCCCAGACAGCTCATCCATCACTTGGCCATAGTCAGGGGCACCAGCAGGGGCTTGGGAAAATCCATTTCACAGCAAACCAAACTCATCCCTGGGGCCTCCTTTTGGGGACAAGAACAGCACAATGACTGTGGACAATCAGCAATCAAGCTGATGAGAGCGGATGCCCATGCCCAGAGCCAAAACTGCCAAAGCCAGTCCCTACTTCCACATTCTTTTTCTGGAATCTTTGCCACCCACCCCCAGCTCTGAGTGCCCACAGAGCTGAAAGCCAGTTTGGAAGTCGTGGGCACTGCAGCTCAGCCCATGGCTGTGTTTGGGCTGTGATGGGCCCTCCACAGCTGTGTTTCCATCCCTTCAGATGGTGTTTTTTGGCTACATGGTGTTCAGCATCGCTCTGGGGCTCCTGGCCGACAGGTACAGCCGCTGGAAGGTGAGTGTTGAGTCCTTTCCCTGCACTCACTGGAGCTGTGCTTAGCCAGGGCTTTGGTGACTCTAATTTTTACCCTTTGGTGACTCTAATTTTTACCCTTTGGTGATCCTAATTTTCACCCTTTGGTGATCCTAATTTTTACCCTTTGGCAGATCCTGCTGCTCTCCTTCCTCTGGGCAGCCTATTTCTCCCTGCTGACCTCATTTGCCCCATCCTACATCTTGTTCATGTTCCTACAGGCCATGGTAGGAGGCGGCATGTCGGGCCACGCGCAAGGGTGAGGCTGGGCAAAACCCTTCCCAAAAAAAGGGAGCAGAGGGGCTGGGCAAAACCCTTCCCAAAAAAAGGGAACAGAGAGGCTGGGCAAGACCCTTCCCAAAAAAAGGGAACAGAGGTGCTGGGCAAGACCCTTCCCAAAAAAAGGGAACAGAGGGTCTGGAAGGGGAAAGGGGACTGAATTCCCACATCAACCTGAAACAAGAAGCCCTTCTGTAATTTCACTAAATCTCAGCCAATTGACCTAATTTGCAGTTCCCAAGGACTCCTGAGGCCTGGAACAGAGGGGGCAGCTGGTTTATATTAAGTTGGTGACAGAGGGATTATTAAGCACATATAAAAACAATTAGGTAGGTAATAGATGAGTAAAAGCTGCTTCCTCCTTAAAAAAAAAAGTCCCAACAATACTCCTTAAGTAGAAAATTCTTTTTGAAGTATATACAACATTCCCATGGATATGAAACTTTTTGCCCTGTTGGGGCAGGAAGGGGGATGTGGGGAGGAGAAATTCACTTTTTGACAGGGGCCTGGAAAGATACATTTATTTTGTTGACTCTCTTGAGGAAAGAAATTAAACATTTCAGCATCTTCCATGGTTCCTCAAAGCCTGGCTGCTGCCCCCACAGGAAAGCCCCAAACTGGTCACATTGACGGAGAGGGAGAGGAGAGGAGAGACATGGGGTGGAGAAGGCACCTGCAGCTAGGTCATGCATGTGCTGAGCTGCTGGGACTGCCTCCTTGACAGGAGGATCCCCATTCCCTGGCCATGGGGGCTGCTCATGAGGATGGAGGGAAATTGGACATTTTATAAAATGTCCAATTTTATAAAAATATTTTATAAAATGTCCAATTGAGTGAAGGGGGTCACTCCCCAGTGTGGAGACTCTCCCCACCTCTCTTTCTGTCCAGCCAAGAAGCACAATTCACACCTGGGACTGGAGAGATGGCAGTGCCAGGAGCCCCCTGCCCCAAGGGCACTCCAGCCATTTAAAAGGTGGAACACAGTCTTTTCTTTGTTCAATGGAAAAAGCTCATTTTGATGCCTAAATCTGGTTACCTAAAACAGAGGCTGGACAAAAYTGAGAGAATAAAAAGCAGTTCCATTTATTGCAGGGCCTTCAGGTTCATTCAGGGCAGCTACATATTAAAAATCTACAAAGCTACAAATATATTAAAAATAAATATAAAAAGCTGGAAATATTCAGGCATGGTTGTTGCTGTGCTTTCAGCTCATCCCAGAGTCGGTGCGGTACAGCGTGTCCATGGAGAAGGTGCAGGCAGCACTGGCCACGCTGCAGAGGATATCCAGCATGAACGGGGTGCCCATGCCACAGGGACAGCTGAGAGAGCCTCCCAAGGTGAGTCCAGGCTGTGGCACTGCCCAGCCCATCCATCCCAGGCAGGGCTGATGGTACCCAAGCTCCAGGGAGGGAGCAGGACAGCCAAACACACCTCGTTCAGCCTCTCTTGTCCTCTTTGCTCTGCTCTTTTCCAAACAGCTGTTGGATGGGATGGAGATGTCAGTTTTCTTTTGGAGAAMCTGTAATCTTGGCCTTCGAAATGGAATGGAGTTGTCTGCTTTGTTTTGGGGTTTTTTCTGCTCAWTTTGTGTTTGCTCAGAAAAATGTTGTGCTAAGGAAAGGTTTGCTCCCTTTTCCACAAGAAGGGCTCCTGGCAATGTTGTTCCTTACAGCCCACCCATCCTGCAGAGGGGTTCCCTCTGTCATGAGAACTGGGAACTGTCCCTGGGGTCTCTCTCAGGGTTCTGGGACTGGGCAGGCTGCAGGGATCCCTGCCSTGAGGTCACCCCAGTGCTCCCAGAGGCTCCTCCCAGCCCTTGGGCTGGTTCATCCACTGTGTCCCAGGGTGCAGCCACAGACCAGCAGGAGAGGCTCAGAGCAGGAGAGACCATTCCATAGATGCCACCATCTGTAGCTGCAGGCAGCTGAGCAGCTCAGGAGTTGGTCACTGCTGGGTTGAAATGCCCAAAAGTGTGTGTAGGTGATCCCTTAGGATTTCAGCTTCTCCATTTTCCATGTATCTGTAATCCTGTAATTCTTTAGTGGATAACTCCAGACTCCACAGACAGTGCTGAGCTCCTGCTCTCCCATTTTTACACAAAACAATTCCCCTGCAGCCCCAAACTCAAGGACACCTCCCTGTGCCAGGCCCCAAGAGATGGAAACAACAAAGAATTGGGGGAAGCCAACTTGGAGTGAATGACTGCATTGGCTGCAGCTGCAATTGGAGGGTTCAGCCCCGATGTGCAAATGCACAAAAGTGAGAAAGGGTGAAAAACCCGTGAGCCATTGTCCATTGTGGGTGGGCCAGGACTGCCCTGAATGCACCTGAAGGCCCTGCAATAGATAGAACTGCTTTTTAGTCTCTCAATTTTGTCCAGCCTCTGTTCTAGGTAGCTGGATTTAGGCATTGTGGGTGTTGCAGGGTTCTCCCCTTTTCCACCAGATGATTGGTGGGTGGGAGGACTCAGGTGGCTCCTTTTACCCCTAAGAGAGGAAGATTAGACAAATCCATTGTCCAGGGCCTCAAAATTATTATCCAGCTCTTTTAAATCCCTTTCCTGGACCTCTCTCCTGCTTATTCAATCCCACAGGCACCAAGCATTGTCCTTAGCAATTCATGCAAGATGGTGCTATTGTATTGGAATTAGTCAGGATTAAAGCTTCCCCATAGTTTAATTGAATTTATTTAATGGACCCACATTGGSTATGGGAAGGGTTTTTGTCAGCTGGGCACCCTCTTAGGCTTAACCAGTGCTGGGGAAAATAAAAATAAATGTAACCAACAGCATCCCTGTGAGCTTGTCTCCCCTTGGTGGCGGGATCCTGGGGAGCAGCAGGGCAGGAGGGCCCTGACACTCCAGGCCTCCCAAAAAGATGGATGTGCCCAAAAAGTTGTTTCACAGGCGGGGCAGCATGTGGGGCAGTGGATGGATGCCCYAGCAGTGCTGGCCCCCAGTAGCCCCCCAGGGTCCCTCTGGCAGCACCATGGTCACTGTGTCACCAGGTTGCCGGAACCTGGTGTGTCCTGTGAGGCCAGGAGAGATCAGGATATTTATTCCCTTCTTTATCCTCCGCAGTGCAGCTTCCTGGGGGTACCTTTAGGGAAGCAGGACTTTCCTCCCGGGAGGTTTGGTGGGTGCTGTGCTGCGCCATCTGTCCTTCTGTCAGTGCCACCAGCAGCCTGGGGACAGGGGGAGCGCAGACAGARGGCCTGGGGTGCCAGCTGCTCTCACAAAACACTTGCTCCAGTACAAAACTGGAAAARAAACCTCCAGTTTTTACCTTTATAAAAACCTGTATTTCTGTCACATGACTAGCTGCCCTTGATAGCACAATGGGTCTCTCTGAATAAAAACTTTTTAAAGAGGAAAATAAGTATAAATATCATGGATTGCTATTCCACTAATCCAGTTTCTTTCTGGCCCCTTTTAGGTCTATCCCACCACAATGAGAGCGCTGGGGATGGGGACGAGTGGCTCATTGTGCCKTGCAGGAGCCATGGTGGCCCCATTTATATCACAGGTAAGAGCATGATTGATAATGCTGGTAAACACTGTGCTGATCATTGCTATCAAACACAGAGAGATGTCCCTGAAGTTCATCCAAAAAAAGAGAGGATGTCATCAATTCCCTGCCCCCAACCCCACACTCAAGAGTGCTTGGGTGGTCTTTGCCAGATGCAGCTTTGAGTAAATCTCATCACAGAGTTCAGCTGGCTAATATTTGATACTTTCTGAAAGCTCTTAAGGGTCACAACACACAGTTTTTCTCTTGTGGAGTCTTTCAGGCGTTYGTGACCCTTTGTCCACTCTTTAATTCCTAATTAAGTGCCAGCCCCTCACACTCCATGTTCTTTGTCCCACAGGTCCTTATAAGCGTGTCTTTCCTGGGTGCCCTGTGCCTCTTCTCCTCCGTGTGCATTGTCTGTGCCATCTCTGCTGTCACCCTGCCCATCGAGACCAAGGGCAGGGCCCTGCAGGTGGGTACCACCCTCCAGGAGCTCCTCAAGCTGCTCAGGGGATGGGAGATGATGATCCAGAACCCAAACCCAGCTCTCCTGAGGTTTCTCAAGCACAGGAAAGTGCTGCTGCAGCAGCTTCCAGCAGCGTTCTCCCAGCTGCCCAAAGCTTGTTTCTCCTAAAGGAATGAGCCAGCCTGCTCCACACATCTCACCTAAGAGTGYTGGTTCACAGCTCATGTCAGCAACTCTTCACATMTCCAATCCTGACTGGAAWYTGYRGCTTCCCAGGCACACRCCCTGCTCTGCCTSTGCYGCAAGGAGAGGGMAGCAGATGCACAGAGAGCCTAAAATAGAAATTTCTGCATCAAATTCAAGGCCCACCTTCTTCAGTCCATTGTGGTCAGTGTTTTCCATAGTACCATCTGCCAAAACACTCAGGGCAAAAATTAAGGGGCAAAGTTTAAATTTAGCTCTCTCCCACATGCAAGCCACACCAGTTTAATGAGAGGAGGTGGTGAGCAGTCCTGTGATTCCAATCCATTCRTCTACCCCAGCACGGAAATTTCCAYGGTCACACCACTYTGTGTGACTCTGCAGCCTCACCTKTRTAAGCCACACCACCRTRGGCTAAATAATCCATACTTTTTAGCAGGCAGATGTTTGACCAAACTGGTTTATGAGGGCTTCAGAACCAGACTTCAAAAATCCCATCCCTACAAACACACCCATCATGTTTATATCCATATGCTTAACTTCACTGGGGCACAGCTAAGGCTTTCCTAAGGTGCTTGGGACAGTTAATATTTGGTTTTCAGGTTTAACAGATTATTTGTTGCCTGCTTCCTTAAACGGATCTTTTTTGAAATGCATGTGCTTTATGGTTTTATGTAATTTAAAATGTCTGTATGATAATTCATRGAGGATGGAGGAGGATGGAAATCAGAGTTTACACACAAATAATCAACTTGTTCTTCCCTTGTGGATGAAATTCAACCCCAGGCACAGAGGCCAGAGACAGTCAAGCCTTCATGGGGCTGGATTTACAACAATTACTTCATTAAAACTGTTTTAAACAGAAAAGCTTTGATTCGGCTACAGCTGGAATAACTTTGGCTAAAAAGTGGTTGATAAAAATGGCAGTGYAATCATTCCTTAACAGGATCCCCCTTTTGCTGGGGAATTAACTCAATTAATTTATTATCCTYCTTGTGACAAAGAAAAGTTATAAACTCCAGCTGCTGGCCTTTGCATGGCAMAAGTCAAAAGGATGGAAAACCAAAAATCTGTGGAACTATTTGTGTACTCAGAGAAGTGCCCACTACAGCTTAAATCCAACATCTGAAATTCAGCTTTTAAAAGATCACATTTGTCTGTGCAGCCATTCAGGGACTGCCAGTGGTGGTCCAAGGGCCTCACACACCCAATCCACAGCAGRATTTAAATACATGTCATAAAAGCTCTTTCAACATGGCAATATTGAGTTCTGAGGCTCCAGACAATGGCTGTGTTCCTCAAAACTAGGTCTAGATGAACCAGCTAAATAAAAATTAACTTCCAGTGAAATGCAGACAATGACATTTTAAAAGTGTATCTACTCTTGCTTCATTTTATTAGGACAGCAACTGCCCCCTCTCAAAGTAGTCAGGGGATTGCCTGTCAGAATTGAGACCTTTTGGACACACCCAAACAYGTTATTTTCCACTGTATCCATTCCTCTTGTTTTTATGTGCATTTTATTAATTTTAAGTATTATTTTTTTTCTTTCCCTCTTTTCAGCAAGTAAAATGAGAGTGAATGTTTGATGTTGGATGAGGTAGGAAAGAAAAATAAAGCTTTGGAGTCTGTCACTTCCTGTGACCTGCATTTGATGTTGATTGCTTCTCCATACTGTTTCCACAATAAAAAAAAATTGCAACTGAACAGTGTCAGAGCTATGATTTGTGTGGACAAATGGCAAATTTGTCAAGGATGTTCCCTTTCTTATGATTCAACAAACAGATGCTTTCTACCCTTCCTGCAAAGACTCTTCACTTCTCGTGCTATCAGCAGTGACACTGCACACATACAGACACATACAAAAAAAATTTAAAAAGAAATAGAAAAACCATGAGGTGAATTGAATTAAAGGGGAAAAAAACCACACAAAGTAGATACAGTCTTTGCCACAGCAGCTTGAAAGAACATAGTATTTTCCTCAACTTTTTGTGCAAATACCAGCTGCATGAAGGTAAGGAAATTTCAATCTCACTGCAGTGATGATTTCTGATGATTACTAGGGTGACACTCAAGACCACAAAAGGTGAATCCTTTTTCCAGTGGATTATTTAAAGAGCTATTTTCAGGCAGTTGACAGCAGACAGAGAAGTAACTGGACTGCAGAATACATCCACTCTTCTCTCCTGAGCATTTTTCACTGGGAGAACAACTTGATTGTGAAGCTGCATCTGTAACATTGCAAATGTTGCAGTGGCAGTGCCTCTTTAATTTCCAACTCTCTGCTGCTGGAGCGTGCACTGATCACACCTGTGTAGCTAGAATGGTCTTCCTCACTATTTTGTTCTGCTCTTTAATCTCTCTTTCCTATTTTCTGTTACTCTGGGACTGTAGCGCTTAAAATTCTCTTCAGGTAGTAAAAGCTTTCCATAAAAAAACCAAACCAAACATCAATGGCAACAACAATAATAAAAACCCTCCCACCAAACTGAAACAAACAAACAAACAAAAAAAAAAGATGGGACAATGACTGGTTATTCTGGGCACCCTAAAAATCTACCACATGATCAGAAGTAATGTCAAAGGCCTGCTGCAAACATGACTGAGTATTTTTTGGGAGTGTCCACTACATTTCAGTGTGCAGTGCCACCCAATGACAAAGACAGGTAGAATGTCCTCAGGTGAGAGGCAAAATCAGGGCCTTTTTCTCATCACATGTGCACAGCAGAGAGGCACAAGCAGAACTTGGATCCAGTCTCTTCAGKGATTTATGCACAGCACCACAGCAGGGCCACACAGGGAGTCAAACTCAGCTGTCTTCACAATTCCAACTCCAAAATTAATCCAAAAGACTGCCTGCTCTCCCAAACACTGAATTTTCATTTACTCTTCAAAAAAAACAATCACTAGGGCAACCATATATGAGTACTTCTCTAACTCTGCAGCCTCTGAGGGCAGAAATGAACCCAATGATGTTGCCAGAGCTTCTGGAAAGCAGACAGCAAAATCACAAAATAAGGTGATTCATCCTCATTTTCTGGTGATTCAGGGGGACATGAAGGGTGAAGAGCAATACCTTTCTCATCAAGGTTGCATTCTGACAATGACACATTTAGAAATACGCAAAAAGAACAAGACATTGTGGACAGAAAGGATGCTTCTTCTCCCCTCTTTAAAAATACACAAAMA